TAAGCCGTGTTACTCAGCTAATCCATTGAAACGGTGACACAGTGCACGCCCGGATCAGTAAGATTGAACTGATGGACTGATGTAACTCATCCAGTGGCATATTAAGCCCTGTTTTCTGAGTGTTAACGTTTATTTTGCTGTGATGATGTAACTGACATTTTTGTATTCTTGGTTCGTTTCTCGATTTGGTAAATGTCAGGTGTATGATGAAGGAATGTGTTCATTTGGAGTTTGTATACTCCTATTTGAGGATTTATGTAGTTTAGTAAGATATTAAGACTACCTCATTGGCCGAGTGGTCGCAAATGCGACTGTCGGGCAAGGGGTCTCGAGTTCGATTTCCGGGTCGGGCAAAGTATTACTTGGTTTGCTAAAAATATCAGTAGTAGCACGGAGTCTGGAAATGTGGTATATGGCAATAGGCTCGCCTCCTATTACATGGGACCCATAACATAAATATTCAAAAGTGCCTGTTACATTACAGTGGCATTAAGTGCCGTAATGTGCACCTCTGCCCACCTCTTCGGGGATAAAAGGCGTGATTATGTTTTTTTTTAAGATATTCCTAAAGCTTTTCATCAAAAGAAGTGTCTTTTGATGTGATTTTAACAATTGCAATGTCAACGGATACACTTCAAACTAGACAAAACGAATTTATCAAGATCTCGCTTTGCACCACATTTCCGTATGTACACCGGTCAGTTTATACTGGTTAATCATAGCTTGATGTGTGTTCCATATCGCTTTGAGATACACAGTATACATCAATGGCAACCTTGATCAAGTCTTGCAATAAAATATGCAATTACATAACGATATCTTGTTAGGTGGTAATTGTTTCTCAGAATCCTAGTGTGATTTCATTTTCCTTAAGGTAAATGCTTTAGTAAAATAGTAGATAATGTGCACTGTGAACATCGTTGTTTACTTTTAGCAGTAACTCTTAGGTACTATTCGTCGGCGTTTTGACTATACCACGTAAAAGAAGGGGAAAAATTTCATGAAGCTTTTTTTTAAGAACGTTGCCCCATACTAGGATTTTCTCCTGTATCGTGGGTGCGTTTACAACCATACAAGTTCACATAAACATGACACCCAAACCCGAAACAACAATTTGTGGATCACATAAAAAGTTATTATGTTTTCGGCTTACTCACGTAGTAATTCGACGAGGATCTCGACTAGTTTCAAGCCATGCTAGAGGCTCATATTCATGAGCAGCATTTCGCGACCCGCGACGCGGCGACTGTCCCGCTGCTACTCTACCTACGCTAGGCTACCTCTAGCACGGCTTGAAACTAGTCGAGTTCCTCGTCGAGTTACTACGTAAGTAAGCCGAAAACATAATAATTTATTTAGTATGTCTCACGAAAGTTACAATACACATAAAAAGTTGCTCCGTGCGGGCATCGGACCAGCGATACGTTGCGCGGCAGCCAGTTGCCCAGCCTCCGCGCCAACTGCGCAGTCAATCTAAATGCCATCTAGAAGAATCTAAATGCTTTATAAATACAATCATTTAAATTAATAAGAAATCACTGCAGCTAGTGCTTTTGCTCATGGATAAAAAGTAGCTGGTTTGTCTCATTGAGATCCGTCTATTATTTTTTGTATGAAAGAGTCGGGATGTTCTAAACCGGCTAGACACTTTAGCAATACGTAGAGATGTATCTTCATTCTGCATTTTCTATCGCTTATACCACGGGGAGTGCTCTAAGGAATTGTTTTACCTGACACATGCCGCATCTTTTCGCCATCATTACCCAAGAAATATATTTGTATCTGTGTCCATTTTCATTTCTGAATAAAGATTTTATTTATTATTGTTATTTTATTTATTTATCGACCCTCACGACAACATAAGCATTCCCATCATACAAATGGTTGGCAGGCCACAATTGTGCGCCTCTCACGTAGCTTCCTGCCTCGCGCAGCAAAACTGTGAAATGATCTGTCGTCGGCGGTATTTCCGAACCGATACGACCTTCAAACCTTCAAGAAAAGAGCGTATTCCTTTTTAAAAGGCCGGCAACACACATGTGACTCCTCTGGTATTTCGGGTGTCCATGAGCGGCGCTGATCGCTTACCATCAGGTGATTCATCTGTTCGTTTGCCTCCTATTCTGTAAAAAAAGAGTGAGAAACATTCATAGACACTCAGAACCTCTAGCTTCCATAATGGATGTACTTTATATCGTTTTAACAACCTAAAAAGTTACTTGAAGTAATTTAATACATTGAAATCCTAACCAGCCGCCATATCCCAGAAGTTATAAAGACAAGTCAAACAAAATTAATGTTAGGAGACTTTAAACTCAGTACGGAATTACTGTAACTTAGTAAGTTATTTAATTATTTAAGTAATAAGCTTATAACTTGAGTTGATTGTTCGGTTTTATGAAAATCAAAATTAAAAGTTTTGGTGGTCGCCAACCGGGAGGACTGAACAGGGGGTTAGGGGTCGGCAAAACGGTAGTAAATTTTTAATATTTAGAAGTCTATTCTAATACTATTTTTTTTAAGGGGGGAAAATCATCCAATGACTGCTCCCGCCTGGGTGAGGCGGGAGGGAGTATCAGACTCTTACTGACTAAAAACCGCCGCGTTCCTACTCCTACACTTCGAGCCGGAGCCCCAGTAACCCGTTAGGTTCTCCGTGACTCGGTATCGGCATCAGCCCTATTGGGCCCCATCCGTGGTAGTCTGATGGCTCTTTGAGACGCGCGCGGAACGCGACGCGCCGTACGCTTGGGTCTGGTTCTGGTCGGGCTGCGAGCCACCGATGCTCGCCATCCGCAGGCCCGCGCTCACGGTGGCCGAAGATCGTTTCGCGATCCCCTACACCCGGAAATCTTAGAACTATAAGTTGGTATATTACAATAACTCACGATGGTTTGAACATGTAGAAAAAAAGTATACAGAGAGGATATGGATGGATGCGTCGGTAGAGATACATAATATATCGACCAGATTGGCGATATATTGAAGAAACGCCAAATTAAAAGTACCATTAACCAACAATCATGCATGAAAAGACTGATGACTATTGAGGAAGCGAAAGAGGTATGTAAGAATCGTAGCAATTGACGATACAAAGTCGCTGCCAGCTCCCATGGGAGACAGGCGTGAGGTTATGTATGTATGTATGTACAATGGACTCACTCAATTCCCGTAACGTTGTCTTGCAAGAAAAGTGCTATGTAGACCACAATACTGCTATTATGAATAATTAAATATATGTACCTACAGAGTCAAGAGGACCCAATATAGAGTGGCGAGTTATCATTCGGTGGTCAAAGGCATTTGCCAGTCAACAGTAGACATCTGGCTGATGACTATATATAACTATATGATTATGGAAATAAATATGACATCAATAAATAAAACTGTAAAGTCTACAATATTAATCTTGGTTTACTTTTCCAGGTACATATATGTACCTATGGAAGTATTGTTAAAGTTTGGCGAGTTTGGATTTAAGGCCACACGTATGTAAAATTTCAATGAATAAATTTGTTAAAAGAAAAGAATTGCCTTACTTTTATTTAGACGCTAATTACGCATATCTTCATTCTCCTACTTCTGATGTAGATATCAGTAATTAGTTTATTCATTGTGAGGTATAATTCCATCGATTCCTCTCCATAACATTGATAACATTATATTACTTTATTGATGATAAATTAATGATATTAAAAATTATATGCTTTAGAGACCAATAAAATGACATATTAGGAAAGAAGATCAACATTTTTGTTGACGGGGAAACCTTCAAAAGGCGCCTAGCTTTTTAGTGGAAAAGACTGGGAAGTGTGGGAGTTTTACCTCATTAAAACCTCTCTGGTGGCCTAGTGTATGTTTAGGTGCCTACCTACTGATTAAACTTTTTTGTGATCTATGTATTTGCTATATTCTATTCAAACGTAAATAAAGAAAATATAAATATTCTTTTAGGTTATTTTTTGCACAAGAAACTTAAAATTCAAAAGTACTCTGTACACTATACAAAAAATATCTTTAATAAACAAATTGACTATAACAATTATTACTATTTTATTACGGCTCCACATACGCTTCAACATATAGCAAATTGTGCAGTCAAACAGTCAGTCCTGTTTGATATCTGTTATTTAACACGTGTTGAGATATCGAACATGTAAATAATTACAAATGTACTAATTTCTAACATTTCATAACAATGATAACAGGATATTAGTTCAATGAACTATAACAGCTTTGTATTACCATATACATAGGAATCTAGACCTTAGTACTAATCTTATAATATTGACTTTGAGTCTACACAAGGTTTTGATACAGACCTCTAATTATAGTGGCAATTAAAACAATGTACCGTTATGTTAGATAGCCTTTCGACCTCTATTCAGATACGAGGATATGAAGTGCAAAACACATTTCAAATACCGTTTTAAGGTCCACTAATTGAGATGGTTAAATAAATAAAAAGTTATCTTTGAGTATGCTATCATTATCTCCTTTTGACTTAATTTTCAGTCTTAATAATAATATTTTATATCTAGCGTTATAGTCAAATACTCAATATTCACTCAATTTTAAGGGCTCTCAAGAATAGTTCTACAAATTATTTATTAAATGACAGAGATGGAACGGTAGAAAATGTCGTGGTGGCTATTACCGTGGGAGGTTTAAGACGCCCGCTTCTCAGAAACCTACCAACGGCAAGTACCAATGTGACTTTTTCCGAGTTATGTGTACTTTGTAAGATTATCTAGACACTACTCACAAACGGTGAAGGAATACATAGTGAGAAAATCTGGGCTTATAATTTCTAATTAGTTATAAGTTTGTAATTGCCAACCCGCATTGAGCAAGCGTAGTTGTTAATGCTCAAACTTTATCCGTGTGAGAAAAGGCTCTTCTCAGCAGGGGCATTATAGGCTGTTGATGATGATGATGATGAGAGATGGAACGTATCTGAGTACAACTTAAAATTTGGTAATATTGCCAGTATTTCGGCGTTAATCTCTAAGTTTCAGTTCATAGCGATCTGTAGGACTTCTAAGGCCGAAGGGACTTCTTTCAAATGTCGGAGTGCAATTCTGTTCCCCCAATGTGAAGCGTCGCAACAACCACGCGAGTCCTGCTTTTACTTGGAGGCGAGCAAACCGGACACCTGGAATAGAAATAAATGGGTGCTAATTAAGGCAGCTTCTTTAAAATGTCATTCTCGTCTGCAAATATATTTAGTTGTCTAATGAATTAATAGGTCAGCGACAAACTTTTAGCGTCTAATAAATGGTTTATAAGCGACCATATATTGTAAAACAAGCTACTGTTAATATGACGCAACATTTAAACTAATATTTTTAATATAAACGGCTAAATGGTATGAAAAGATTTGAAAAGCAGTTAGTGATATAACGCTCGGCGGCCGCTACCGCGGCACCGCTCGCTACGCTCGCTCGCCTCGCGCCTTGTGAGGGTCGCAGTTCTAACCTAACCTAACCAAATGTTTCGGGGTGCCCAAAATTGCTGTGCAGTCAGTCAACATTAGTCGCTGAGTTATCAAATCAGAAGTAAATATATTTATCGGTAGCTCGGACTCATATTAATTTACGCTCGTAAATTGACGCTGGTTTCTTGATATTTTGTTGGAATAGTAAAGATGATGAATTAATATAATTGAAGCTGTTCTATTAACTCGTCACTCACATATAAAAAAAGATAGGTAGGTAGGTTGCAGGTGCTAAAGAAAACTTTTGTTGCCGCACATATAATTTCCCGAAATAAATAGGTTTATTATACCTAATCAGTCATCATTCCCGTGTGTTTGTGCAGCCAGAGAATTAATATTTTTAAAACCTTATTACCTCATATTATCTGGGATGGGAGGATGTATAGTATAACTTGAACTGTCTTGGATCCTATCATGAAACTAAATTATCCTATCATGAAACAGGTTATTAATTTATTGACATGTTGATCCATAATAAGTAAAAATAAGTGTGGGAGAGCCATGCTTCGGCACGAATGGGCTGGCTCGACCGGAGTGATACCACGACCTCACAGAAAACCGACGTGAAGCAACGCTGGCGTTGTGTTTCGTCGTGTGAGTGAGGCTACCGGAAGCCCAATTACCCTCCCCTTCCTCAATCTCCCCAATCCCTGAATCCCCAACGATCCTCAAACTCCTAATCCCCAAAAGGCCGGTAACGCACTTTTAACGCCTCTGGTCTTCCAGGTGCCCATGGGCGACGCCGATTGCTTACCATCAGGTGATCCGTCTGCTCGTTTACCGGCTTATGCCATAAAAAAATATTCAAGTTAGACCAAATTTTACTTGGTCTGTTATCGAGCCTGGTCAACATTAAAATACACTTCCTATTTATAACATGGACGTTAAAATCATAACAATGTTCACCTCCATCTCTCAAAAGAGTGAGGAGAACATCTCAAATTGTTGTTTATGGCATTTCAAAATAGTTAGCGTCAGCTTCACCACCTTCATTTTAGATACCCGATAAAATATGACAGATGGTTCATACAAATTATGTTCTATACAATACATAGCTGTTATCCAGACATCTACAGAGATTGTGAAAGTGGCCCTTAGTCTGATATGAGTTCCTTTATCGATTGTTTAGTACACAATCTATAATTAAACAACAAAGAGACTACTAACATGAATCCTTATCAAGAGTAATTGTCTTATCTAGTCATTAGTATCTTATCAACTTTGTAATTATACCTTTGTTTGGCTTTCGTAATAATAAAGTTTATCATATAAACATGTTATGCAAGAAAAATTTTGTTGTGAAATATAACAAAATTTTTCACACTGCTTTACAATAGAACTATAAACATCAACATTAAAATGAATGAAATACTAAAATGAAAGGAAGATAACAAAAAACTTACCAATACAAATTCGGTTTCCTTCTCCAAACGGCAAAAACACATACTTAGGTATTTTGGACACATTTTCTGGAGAAAACCTCTCTGGATCAAACTTATCAGGTTCTGGGAAATACTTTTCATCCCTGTGCATTGCAAATGGCGATATCATTACAATTTCATCTTTGTCTATAGCTACTCCTGACGGCAGTACTGTATCTTTAGTACAGAGTCTTTGAATAACTCCTATTGTAGGATACTTGCGCATTGCTTCATTTACCACTTGATCCAAATATTGTAACTTCTCTACTTCATCGTAAGTAAACTGTTCATTGCATTCATCGAATACTTTATCAATTTCTTCGTGCACTTTTTGTAACACTTCGGGATTATTTGATAGTTCTAGGAGAGTATAATGCATAGTATTAGCTGAGGTATCAGTGCCAGCCAGGAAAAAGAAGAATGCTTGAGCAGCCAAAATTTCAACAGTTGGCTCCAAACTATAATTTGTTGTAAAATCATGCATATATCCGTGGACTTGCAAGCTCAAACAGAGGTCAATAAAATCATGTGTTCTAATAGCTTTGCGTTGTCTTTCTTCTAGAACAGCTCGTACAGCACCAATGAAAAATTCCTCATGCTCTCCAAACACTTTGATGTTCAAAAAATCATATAGTTTTGGACTTGTATTCGCAAGCAAAGCAGCAATATTTGAATACAAAGATGGCTTCAGGGTCTTCTTCGTCATCTCCAAGAACGGTGAATCCATAGCGTTTTGATTGTTCTGTGTATCTATACCAAACACTGATGCTCCAATAGATGCAGTTGTGTAAGTGTATAGAATGTTGAATGGGTCTTGTCGCAGATGGATATCATCTTCAACGACTTCAACAAAGTCTCGAGCAACTTTCTCAATGATTTTGAACATATACTTAAGTTTGAAGGTTGTGAAAACTGGACTAAGTTTATTCCTCAAGAGCTTCCATTTTTTAACATCATTCGTAAAGAGCAGATTATCGGCTAATAGATCATGTGGTCCAAATTTGATGCCACGGCTGTGAAAGTTTTGGAAATCACCAGCTAAAACCGCTTGAATGTCGTCAGGGTGCTTAAGAATCAGCATTGGTGTGGTCCCAGCTATAGTTCCCACATATAATGCATCAGGATGATCATTATAAATGTCCTTCAATATCTCTGGCATGGACTGTTTCCCGAACACGAACTTCAGCATCAAATTAAAGTTGGTTTGCACGACATTTTTCTTCTTCCAATGAGTTTTGTTGAAAAAAATTCTATGTATTAGCACATAACACAAAACTGTTATTGTAAATACGAGCGTGAACAACATTGTTTACTCGGTACAAGACGCGACGCGACGCACTCACTAAGGTCAACCTACGACTGATTGATAACATTGGCTCTACCGCTATATTTAAACGCACCGGTTTAGAATACGTCGAGGTGTCAACATCTGAGGTATTAGTATCTATCTCTATTTACTTAACCATTAAAGTCATTAATATCATCACATACTTTCACAAACAGTTTATTTACGCTTTATTCTTACCAATTTAGCAATGGCTGTAAGTAAATAATTAGCGAATAATTGGTAATGGTGTATTTTAATGACTTTTAAGTGAATGCTCATAATACTATGATTCTTGTTAGTGAATTTACTATCTCAAAGACTGAATAGTCACAAGTTTGAATTGCCCAATATGTGAGTTCTAGTTTGATTCTTCCAACATGTAAATTGAACTCTGGTAATCTTTATAGTGCTCGAATTAGGCCCACCTTATATTAAATGGGATCATAATGTAAATGGAAGTTGACTTTTTTTCTTTTTAAAAAACGTTGCCCAACACTAAGACTTTCTCCTGTGCTGTGGGTGCATTCACAAACATACAACGTTACACACACATGACACCTAGACCCGGAACAATAATTTGTGGATCAGACAAAAGGTTGCTCCATGCGGGAATCGAACCCGCGACACGTTGCACGGCAGCCAGTTGCCCAGCCACCGCACCAATCGTGCAGTCAAATTACTAATTACTGTTGCTTGGATTCAATATAACCCATGTCCTTCGTTCTAGTCCTTATTACGTTGAGTTTCATCAGTCTTGACCAAGTAGTTTAGTAGCTCTGTCAATTAAGTAAATAAACAATAGGATCATATTAGTATGCGTTATGTACATAAATGTACCTGTTATATGACTCACATGGCAAGTTTATTGCATGCTATTATATTTTCAATGTCTAGTATGTATTGCATCATGCTTGGGCCCCTAAATTACATAGAATTGGAGCCGTCCGGTGTTACATTATGCCGGGTCCACACTCTTTGTAAACAATAGCAAAAAGCAGGAACAAACAGCAAACACGAACATATGGTGAGGAAGAGCCATGCTTTGGCATGAATGGGCCGGCTCGACCGGAGTGATACCACGGCCTCACAGAAAACTATTATAAAATGAATATATATAATGTTTAGTGGCCATAATGTTTAGTCTTTTGTAAGTATCTTAACAGTTTTTTCAAATGTTTCCAATGTGTTTCATTGAAACATGTATTAAATTGGCTCAAAAAACTAACACTGTATGAAATATCTGGCCTTGTGAGAACTGACAAATACATTAAACATCCTACTAATTGTTGATAAGGATAAGTTTCACAATAGTTTCTATTTGAAGCTTTTTCTAACTTTAAGTTCACTTCTATTGGAGTATCTGAAGGTTTACAATCAATCATATTGAATCTTTTCAAAATATTATCAACAAATTGTTCTTGGTCTAAAGTTACACTATCTTTTTTTACATTTACATTCATACCTAGACAATTTTTAATTTTACCCATATCTTTTATCTTAAAATCTGACTCCAAAACATTTCTCAGATTGTTATATGCATTTACACAGTTATAAAACACAAAAAAGTCATCAACAAAAATTGCTACAAATACTGTTACATTTTCATGACACTTTATAAATAAACAGGGTTCATATTTAGATTTACTAAAACCTAACTTCAATAAACTGGACTCCACTTTTATGTACCAAGACCTGGCTGATTGTTTTAAGCCATATACTGCCTTTTTTAACCTCAAAACTTTATTTTCACAATTCTTAAAATTTGAATATTCTGGTATTTCCATAAATACACATTCTTCTAAGTGACCATTCAGGAAGGCAGTTGGTACATCCAAATGGTTAACTTTTAGGTTAAGTTGGACACTCAAGGCAAAAAGCAGCCTCAAGGTAGAGTAACGCAAAACAGGCGAAAAAGTTTCGTTATAGTCAGTACCTTTAACTTGGGTAAATCCCTTTGCAACAAGCCGGGCTCTGTAGCGCACATTACCTTCACTGTCACATTTTTTTTTGAATACCCACTTATTTTTCACCACTGTACCCTCACTAGGTCTGTCCACTAATTCCCAAGTGTCATTACTTTTAAAAGATTCAAGCTCTTGTCGCATTGCACTACACCACTGCTCTTTTTCAGGTCCCTTAAGAGCATCCTCTAGGGATATTTGTTCACTGGTCAAGTCTTCAACACACATATTCAAAAAACCAAACCTGTCTGGAGCTCGCCGAACACGTTTTCGTTGTTGAATACCTTCATCACACTGAGTAGCTACCATCATATCATCCGGTGTTAAGCACTCATTATAGTCTTCATCCTGATCACTTGAAGACTCACTAGCAACATATGATGGATCTTTGCTTACCCTTTCATGTTCTTTAGTGCTCATTAAAGTTTTTTCTTTTGGTTTTATATCATTTTCTTCCTGTGACTCCCTCTCTTGAACAACTACTTCTACTGTGTCATTTTTGCAAGTCTCCATGACAACAACATCCCTCGCTACTATTATTTTATTTGTTTTCTTGTCATATAGTCTGTAGCCTTTAGTATTCTCTGAATACCCAACAAGATATAACATTTCAGATTTTTTATCCCACTTGTTACGTCTCACTTTTGGTATGTGGACCATAACTGGACTTCCAAATATTCTAATGTTGCTAAGATTAGGTTTTCTCTTATTCCATATTTCATATGGAGTAGCATTATTTTCTAAACTGGCTGCTGGTGAACGATTCTTGAGATATACTGCTGTATTTACAGCCTCTGCCCACAAGTGTTTGTCAAAAGAGGCATCATACAGAAGACAACGTGCCTTTTCTATAATTGATCTATTACACCTCTCACTTATACCATTTTGTTCTGGGGTGTAGGCTACTGTCTTCTGATGTATTATACCATGTATTTTCATGTAATTTTCCATTTCCTTAGAACAAAATTCTCCGCCGTTATCTGACCGCAATACTTTAATTTTGACACCTTGTTGGTTCTCAACCTGTTCTTTAAATTCTCTAAAATATTTGAAGGCTTCATTCTTCTCTTTTAGGAAATACACAAAGCACATCCTGCTGTAGTCATCTACAAATAACAGGTAATATCTAGCTAAACCAAGTGATTTCTTCTCCATAGGGCCACATAGGTCTGTATGAACCACTTCTAGGACTCGGTTGCTCTTGCTCGTACTGGCAGAGAAAGGTAGTCGAGTTTGCTTTCCTTCGCAGCATACCACACAAGTTAATTTGCTTATGTCATCTTTTTCCTGGTAAGTGACACCTTGAACTGCTCCTTCCTTCATTTTCTCTAGGTCTTTCATATTAATATGACCTAATCTTCTGTGCCATGTTCTGCATGAAGTATGTGCTACTGCCGCCATGAGCTGGTTCGACTTTTCAATGTTTAATCTGTACACATCGTTCTCCAAGTTTGCTTCACCAATGCAAATATTGTGAGCATTGTAAATGTAACATCCATTTTTATTGAAGGATACTCTGTTACCATTTGCAATCATTCTGCTCACAGAAAGCAAATTCGTCGTAAGTGTTGGTATGCACAAAACATTGTTAATTTTTACTTCATGTGTGAATGTTTTCACTCGCGTAATCAGTCGAAGATCACCAGAACACAACACTGGTACTTTTGTTCGATCGGCAATAATGATCTCTTTGACTTTCGGTTCGTAAGATATGTTGGTCAACGTGTTTTTGTTAGACACATGTGGGTACTCGCGCCAGAGTCGACATACCAGTCGTTTTCGTCGAACTCTCGTGTAAGAAACACTGCACTCAACACATTTGGAATTGATTTATGTTTGTCTTTATTTAATAGGCGGCACTGGCTTTTAAAATGGCCAATCTTTTTGCAATGGTAGCAGCGAATTTGTTTTCTGTTTTTGTTTGACTTGTCATCATTGACAGATGACGTGAGCGTTCCATTTCCGCTACTAGTTTGTGCACGCGCCTGTAAATAGCGTTTCTGTGCATGTGCAATAAGCGCGCCTTCAGACTTACCCTCAAATTCCGAACTCATATCTAGCAACTTCGTTTTGATAGCATCAGCGCTCATCTTCATTCCTGAGTGTTCGATAGCCATGATCATAGGGCTAAATCTTTCAGGGAGGCCTGCCAGCAATAGCGATCCGATCCATTCGTCATTTATTTCGAATCCCGTTCCCTTTAATCTATGCGCCGTTTCCACGAGCTGATTAACATAGCTGGTCATACTATCGCAACTCTCCAAACGTATCGATATTAAGCTTCTAAGGAGTGTAATCTTGCGCGTATAACCCGAGTCATCAAACAAGGTTTTTAGTTTGAGCCATAAAGCTTGCACTGTGGCTTCGGTCTTGATGTGTACAAATAACGATGGATCGATGGTCATGATCATTTTTGCTCTTGCCTTCTTGTTTTCTGAATCCGATAGCTCCGTTGTGCCGGTTACGTCTATGCCTTCCAAAATCATATAATTTTCTACTGCAAACGCCCACTCATCATAATTTTCACGTCCTTTTAGTTTTGGGACATTCACTGCATAGTTCGAGACAGACATTTTTAGCACTACTGATACTGTTAAAACACACTGAAGGTCTATAATTTTGAGTCTGGGCCCATAACCTATTATAAAATGAAACTCGTATGAATTCTTGCAACAGACTAAAACCCACTTTTTATTTCACTTTTTATATAGGCAATTACAGGTACAACCAAACACTTCATGTTGACACAAACATTCTCATAGATGGCGCTGATATATATATTTTGTTACTTAGTTCTATTACATTTTAACAAAAACCGACGTGAAACAACGCTTGCGTTGTGTTTCGTCGTGTGAGTGAGGTTACCGGAGGCCCAATTACAACCCTCCCTAGTCTCCCGAATCCCCGAATCCTCAAATTCCCAATTCCCAAAAGGCCGATAACGCACTTGTAATGCCTTGGTGTTCCAGGTGTCATGGGCGGTGCCGATTGCTTACCATCAGGTGATCCGTTTGCTCG